GTAAAGTAGCCACATGATAGCTTAAAGCTTTCCCTGTCTAGTGCCAGTCCTTTGGAATCGGCTTCCACCAAAATTATACCCTATGCCAGGAGTGTGGTTTACAAAATTGAAAAAAAATGTGTTTAAAGCATTTGTAATTAGCTTTTGTAAAGCTGGATTTAAAATTAATGCAGCATATATTGTTATAGTGCCTGCCATCTGGAATGTAATTCCCTGTGAGATCCAGATGGTTCCCACCCTGTTGGGATTCCCAGGGGCTTCAAGACCTGGCTGTTCTCTCAGTCCTTGGGTTAGGTGGTTGGAGCCCATTGAGGTTCCTGTGATTTATATTTGGTCGGTCAGGTTTGCCATCTTGTTCTTTATTTTGTCCCTACACCATTGTTTTTGTTGAATTTTGTATTTTTGTATTGTTTTTTATTTTATTTTTCATATTATGAGCCCCCCAAAAACATCCTGGACTTGGGCAATACCTAATCATTACATTAAAATGAATGAAATTAAATTACAGGTTATAATTATTGTTTTTATTGTTTGGCCTTTTCAGACTACTGATGCACCATTTTTTAATTATGGCTTTGAATTGGATTATAGCAATACTTATGTACTTTATTTTGTAGTAGCTATACACATGCGAAAAAAATAAAAACTTAACCTTTGCAATTTCATAGTTTGAAAAAATATTTCCATCTGAGTGAAGATTCTGGAATGGGAGTACTGTGAGTTAAAAATAGTTTTGCTGAGCCCAGACTACATGAATATATCTGCTTTCATATTATAAATTCATTGTCAAGAATTTGTGATGAGCCACTTTGGTGTAATGGATTAGCTTTTACTTCTCCCATAGACACAGAACCTGGCCGGGTGACAGCCAGTCATTCCACGTCCAATCTACCTCATTTTATTTATTTTATTTTTATTGTTACTGTTACTGTTGTGGAAAAAAAATCAGGTATGCCACCTTGAATTGTATAAAATAAAGATAGGAGACAATGATAATAATATACATAATTTTCTTTCGGCTGTTCTCATGATTTCTATGAAATCTGTCTCCTGCCTCATTTAAACTGGAAGGAGCACCCCATTTTTGGTGCATTCCAGGCGGTGGGAATTGGCGGGGGCTGTGACCTCCACCACCTGGTACTCAGGATTTAATTACCATATTTTTCGCAGTATAAGACACACTTTTTCTCCCCGCAAAAGAGGGTGGAAATTTCTGTGCGTCTTAGAGCAAATGTTGCCAAAGCCCCGCCTACCCGCCAGTCCCCATCTTTCGGCCTCTGCCTCCCAGCAATTTGCCTCCTTGCAGCAAACAGCCTGGTCAGCTTTAGCACAGCCTGATTTAGCATGAGCAGTTGGATCGGCCTCCCAGAATACTGCCAATTCCAAGCTGTGGGGATCGCTGCCTCCCCTCACTGCCTTTGCCTTCCCTTGCTGCCTTGGTGTGCCCCATTTTCGGCCTCCGCGCATCCCACTTTCAGCCTGTTCCAGATGGTGGAGGTCACAGCCCCCGCCAATTCCCACCGCCTGGAATGAGCCAAAAATGGGGTGCTTGGAGGCCAGAAATGGGGCACACAGAGGCGGTGATCAGTGGCGGCGGTAGAGATGGGCGGTGGCGATTCTGCAGCCTGGAATAGCTAATCGGTGGTATTCCTGGATGCTGATCCAACCGTCAGTTAGCTGCTCATGCTAAATCAGGTTGTGCTGAAGGTGACCAGGCTATTTGCTGCAAGGAGGTAAATTGCTGGGAGGGAGAGGCAGATTTTTTTCCCCTTGTTTTTCTCTCCAAAAGCTATGTGCGTCTTATGATCCGGAGCATCTTATAATGCAAAAAATATGGCAATTCCGCACTAAAAGATAAATAGGCAGACATTCTATCTGAAAATGTAATGCACAATTAAATAAAAGTTATTACAAATCATCTGTTGAATTTCCTTGATCCAGAGAAGAAAATGTAGCATCCAGAACAAACTTGCACATTCTGCTGTAAGGAGGAAGGCCAAAAACCACATGCTATCTAGGATTAGCTTCTTGATTTTTTTTATTACTTAAATAAAGAATAATTCCCTGTTTTAGATCACAGTGTCAAGAATATCATGACATTGCATCAACTACATTGAAGGTACCCATGTAGCCACAACCTAGTCTATGCAACTGCAGGTCATCTGGTAAACTTAGAGTTTGTGTTATCTCTTGGAACTCATGAGCCTTTCTGATCACAAGAACAAAGGGAAGAGACCACTTAAGGAGAAGGGTCTTCACAGATTGTCCTTGTGTCTTATTTTTCCCCAGGCACATTGTTAGTAATTATTTTCTATATGTTTAAGAAACAAAGGAAACTTCCTGTCTTTCTCTTTTGTACTTCCTTCTCTTCCAGACATACTTTAGGCAGAAGTGAAGTTAGATTTACTGTTAGCTGGGCTTAGCCTGTAGTCTGTATCCAAGACAACTGTATTATTTTAATTCTAATGGAGTGTTCTGCAGCGTAATTGCTCAATATTCTTTCAGCTCTATGCTTATATTTAGAAGCACATCCTCGCAAAGACTCGCTGAATCAAATCTCCAAAATAAATTCATTCCAGTACTTTGCTATTTTAGATTACATATTCAGAATAGTATTCTGAACATTCTTCTATATTAAATGTCGCAATATGAAAACATTAAGATTGAATTGATCATATGCCATGTGGTTGTAAGATAAATCTTTTCCATTACAAAGATGGGGAATCTATGGTACCAGATGTTGTTGCATAACAGTGCCCAGCAATCTTAGCAGGGGCATAGGCTACGGGTGATGGTAACTGAGCAATGTCTTCACATTCTAGAGATAAATTTCACTGTGCCTAAGAGCTGTAGCTTAACTCTGACTAAAATTTCATCTTTCTGTTTCATATAATTACTGTCATTAATTTAGGGAATTTGTCCTCAGCTGTTGAGACAACCATCGATGTGGAGAGATTTAAAGGAGTACTGGGCATATTCATGGGCACAAGGCTATTAGAAGTTTATCATCATCATAACTATTAAGTCTACTATCAGATTAAGTTTCTGGAGCACATGAAATGAATGGGCTGTTTCCCTAATATGATTTCTCAGAGGCAACTAATTAGAAACCGGTAGTAAAAAAGATTGATTTAAATCAAATTGATTTAAATCATAATTTTTAAGGAGCAACCTTCATCTCTGCCCCACAGCGGCTCCTCCTCTGACCTGTTGACTAACCAACAGTCCCATTCACTTTAATGGGATGGCTGGTGATGCGGCAGTGACACAACAAGGTGAGGGACGTGGTGGGCAGCAGGTGAGTGGATGTCCGCTAACAGGTACTGCCATGATGGATCTGAAATGACAGATACTCTTTAATATATTTATAAGCTGCTTGGAAGCTTTCACTTTTACTGCTTGCCCTTCCTCCTCACACTTAGAGCCTGGTGGTACGGATGCATTTCTCTTCAAAGAATGTACATAGATTTGCAGTACAATGGGATAAAGAAATATTCCTGAACTTTGTTTTATGATTTATCTCATGGTTATTGTGAAATTGTGTGAATGCATCATGTTGGATTCATTGAATGAGTTTACCAAAAATGTAAATATTGCAGAATATACAGCCTCATGCTACATAACTAAGTTCCATTTCATGCTGAATAAACTAAATTATTAATGTATCTTAAATAGAAAACTCTTTAGATAGATTTTTCTCCAGAAGCATTTTATTAAAATAAATTTGATAAAAAATTAAAAAATCCAATTTAATTTAAAAATCTGATTTAAATTTTTTAAAAATCATTTTTAATTTTTTTTAAAAAAGTCATCGAATTTTATCACCCTGATTTGTGTTGTATTTTATAAAGGGCAGTCTTTTTGAAGGGCCATTAGAGAATAGTGGTTACCAATATATGCTGGCTCCTGGTGCAAAGCCAGTTCCAGTTCAGTTTTGACCAAAATAGGTTCCTCTTCCCTTATTGATATTACAATTTTTATCAACAGCGCATCTCTTCTCAAATTTATGCACAAATCTGAATTTCATACAGGGGTATTTGCAGCAGCAACCACTGGTTTCAAGATGTCATACACGACTATTTTAGATAGAAAAATTATTTGGGGTGGGGGGGTTGTTGGGTGTACTCTCCTTTAACTGCATAGTCATTAGTCACTTAAAAACACTTTTGGCCAAAAGGGCTCTGTGAATGAATAAGTACTATGCAAATCCAGCAGTTCTAAAAATGAGGAGTCAGCTCACATACTCTTGATCTAGAAAAGAAAGTAATATGTGTATCAAAAATTCTGAATTTGGTTCTATAAATTCCTGTTATGTGTATTAATTTTCCATAGAGTTCTCATTCCCAAAATGAGCTGTACTGGAAATTCAGAATTGGTTAATTTATATAACTTTTTAAACTTAGAGCCAAAAATATGTGACTTACCTGCTGCCTGTTTCCCCCTGTATTTAACAATACTAGAAAAGGAAAAAGAAAACTAGCAAGTAAATTTCTTTTGGGCTTTGGTAAGTAGCTTGTGGACTTCAAATTGAGGTAAGTCTATCAGATATTGGCTACAGAAATCTAGATAATCACCAGGCGGCAAGCAAGAGTTAGTTTCATTTATCTCTTTGATGCCCTGCAGTGGTTGTCTAGATTTTTTTAAGGCCAGATCCGATACAGATCTATCTTGGAGAGTTACATTCCCGCCCTTACTGTCTCTCAGCATAGATTCAGAGTGTTTTGATTTATCAACTAATTATGTGCACATACATTCTAATTACTAATTGCATCGTTGTATAACAAGCAAACAAAGCATTTTGTAGAAGTCGTCATTATTACAGGTGATACAGCAAAAAACGGAAGAAGCAAAGGATTAGCTTATTTGGGGGGTCTATTTAGTTACAGGTTTAAGATAGAATGGGAAACAGGCTGCAGACATAAATATTAAAGTTTGTGGAACTGATAAGGTGTTTTAGGTTGTACCTAGGGCTCTTCTAAGGAAACTAGAATACCGAAAAAATAAAGCAATAGTTCATTCAGCAGTAGTTTGGAACCCTGCCTTACATAGATTTCCTAATAGACAATAAAAGATTGGAGATAAAATAAACCAATGATATATTGATAGAGCTGGAAATAATTTTACATGCAGATAGTTTCTAAAAGTCATCAGAAGCCAAAATCAGTAGTTTTACTTATTAATTGGAGGGCTGTACTTTCTGAGAATACTACCGCAGCTTCCAAATGTGAAAGGAAGTTTCTTAGTTGCATCCCAAATTTTCCAACAGAGCCTAATATTTAAGCCTGTAGGTGGCAGTAGCTACCTCAGAAACACTTAGATTCAAGTTTATCCCTCTGAACCTTTTTCTAAATTAATAGTTTTGGAGCAGCCGTGTCAGAGATGATGGCTAAAAAGTTCTAACTTGATATAGTGTGCAGAATTGATAGACACATTTCACCAGCAATGTCAGAATATATTAATAAAAAACATTGCCTCAGGAGAGATTTTCTGAAAATGTAATGGAAAGTGCCTTAAACCTGAGACAGTTAAGAGACTGAATAACCTATCACAATAACTAGAGATAGATACAGGAGGAAAAATCAATAACTCTGGTCTGAATGTTATTGGTATACCTGAGTGGTCTGTAATACATAACAGTAAATATTGTCCCAGATAATAGGGATAAAATACTGTACAACCCCATCTTGCCCCCAAATTTTGCCCAAAATTCTACTTTGTGGTGACACCACATAGTTGCATTCCTATCTTCTTAATTTGGGGAAAATGCTAATAATGTTCTTTCCTTGATCTCTCCAGTTCCTTTACAGCTTCCAGCTCTAAAAATCCTTAGATTGAAAGAGGGAAAATTAGAACTTTGCTATAGCTTTTGTAAGATTGGGTGGATTCCTACAAGTCTCCAATTAAATGGTAGTCTAGGTACAATTCTGTGTTCTCAATTAGAAGATATGCTCAGAGACTAAATACATATTGCTATCTCAACTATTTTGAGAGCCTGAATATCTATTATTTTGTATGATAATTGAGCTAGTTCTGAGGAGCCCAAATAATTTTATTAAGGAAATTCTAGAAATCCTAATACCTCCTCCCCTCCCAGCCTAATGCTATATAGTCAGTCCCTATTAAATTCAGTGAAATGATTCCAAGGTAACATATACATTGAATTGTAAGCTTTAATTGTTGAGCTATGGTCTGTTCAATTGTATATGAAAATAGATTCTGAATAGATTTAAGATTGGTTTGAAAATGTGTGATGGGCCTACTCTGGTACTGTACTTGAACTTTGCTTTAGTAAAGCAGAAAAATAAGCAGTGAGATGCATCCTGCTTTTGCTAGCAAGGGTTACATGGAGAAAAAAAAAAAATCTGTGCCCAGATTGATCCTGAGATGTAATGTAATGTAATTTCTTCAGCTACCTAAGGATTAATATGGGTATCCCATTGCACTGCATACCAGATTCAAGGTAGTAGCCAATAGTTCAGTCCAAGCAGAATCAGGACAGTACTTAATAAGGAATTTCTGTTTCAGTTCCATACTTTGTCCTGTGACAAGAGCCCTCCTTAGTTTGCTGTTCAGTTTCATGTCCAAGAATAACATCTGCTCTGAAGAAAAAATACTCTTGAATATTCTAAAAGTTTGTTTTCATGGTCATTTTTGTATAATAGAGCATAAATGCATTTCTTCAAAGAAGGCAGGGAAGCTTTTTTACATCTATAAACAAATGCACAATGTTTCAACACAGGGAGATATTACCCAAATTTGTGATAAAACGCAACTGATTTCCTTGTAGGTGATCTGCAGATTAGGTTTCTGTCTCTGTTCTTATTATCTAAGAGTCAGCCTATTCTGATTAATGCCAGAGCTTGTGAGCAAAATTAATCAGTCATAATCAGAGCAGCTTCACTCTTCGCATTTTTATAAATTGCATAATCACATTTTCCTCCTCTACTTGAGGGATAATTACTGTAATGAACACTTGATTCCCCCCCCCCTCCTAGTTAGAAATGTCAGAGATGTAGTCATTGTACAAGGTAATGTTAAAGCAGAGCAAAGGTTGAAATAGAAGATTTTGGTAAACATTTGTCAGGCTGACAATAATAGGACTGTTACCTTAATTTGGAGTAGTTTATAGCAATGCATATTTATAGTTGGAGCCAATAACCTGGATAACAAATTTTGTCCATTAGCTATATACTTAAATGGCACATATCTGTAACCTCATATGCAGCAGGTGGAAACCTGCTTATAAAGTGCCCACACCAGAAAATTCACCACAATTTGATTCATGTATTTTTGATGATATACATAGCTCTTTAAAATATGTGTACTTTTCTGTTAATGGGTGTCTAATTTAAAGTGGATTTCACTTTTTAGATTTCCATGTTGCTTAACACCTGTTACACATTACCCTCTTGGTTTATTTTTAATTTCATATTTTACTCTGCTGTGGCTTTTGTGGAGTTTGGATTATGAATTAATGTCCATATACCTGTGCACAATGGATTTTAGGATGACATAAACCTCTGAATATTCTAAACTGCAAAATCCTATTTTTTCCCTGTGGATTGAATGAAAATACACTAGATCCTGGTTGTGTCTTTTCTGTTAATAGCAAGCACTGAAAATCAGATACATATATTGCTTTTGTCTACATGACTCAATTCCAACTACTGTACTGTTTCTTTAATCATATGGAATACCTTGGAAGGTTGATGTCACCGATAACTATGCCCAGGAATTTCTGGCATCATTGATTCCAGTTCTACTGTTTGCCTTTATTTATTGAAACTGAATAAAGAAACATAATACAACAAGCAAAATACATTGAAACAGTTGTGTACAATTTTATGTATATTTGTTTTCTTTTATGTATATGTATATACAAATATGAGAAGTCTGTGAATAATTTTTGCACTTGCTTGCTTGCTTGCTTCTGCTCTAAAAAGCAAAGGTACAATACTTTTTCTGGACTTAGAGCCACGCTTGGTTTTTTGAATGCAATACTAAGTTTACTCCAAGAAGCAGAACGTGGGGCCTAAAGAAAGGCTGCATTGGATTTGAGTTCATTGCTTTACATATAGTTAATCATTTTAGTACTATTTAGAAATCCCGACTTTCCTTCTATGAAAAACTAAAATTCAAAGACTAGTTATGGAGGTTTTTAGGGTATATACCTGAAGTTTTCATGGACTCCTTGTAGTTCTGGAATCTCCGATTTTGTGCACTTGAATTAGATTTCTGTTAAATCAGGGCAACAACGATGATTTGTGATGCATATTTGCTAAGGATAAATAAGCCAAGATCCAGTTAGGATTTGCAGCCCAATTTTTTTTCCATTAACGTAACTTCAATAATGGTTCTGTGGGATAAACATTGATATGTACATTGAAACCTTCAAGAGATACCTAGTTCAGTCTGATACATCCAATTCATGCAGGTATCTGATTTGGAGATTCACTCAGAACATTGAGTCATCTTGAAGGTGACTCAGTCTAATACTTGAAATGAAGCTTTGTACCAATATTCAACCCTTTATGACGTCTCACTGATACATCATCTTCCTAGCGTTATTCCTGCAGGGGCAGGGTCTGTTTTTCAATTGATGAATGGCATCTTACACAATCAAATGCAACATCTGGATCCAACTGGGCAATTTTCATGCCTGCATTTATTGTGTCTTGCCATCTTTGTTTTGGCCTTCCATGCGAGCCCTTGCCATCTGTTAAATGGAAGGCTGATGTCTCACTGATACAGGAATAATTAAATACATATTCAGAACTGGACTTTATGAATTTGCACTGTTCAAAGACTTAAAGCTGCCATCTTTTTAAGCTGGATACAGTGCTCCAGAAACTCATACTATCCCTGATTGATTCTGTGGAATTTATTGTTGGAAGCATTCCCCCTATATTATTTAAAAAAATAAACCTTCCTTTAAAGATGTATGCAGGTGTATTTTTTTTCTTTAATTGGGAAAGTAATTAAAGGATATATCCAGGTGCCTCATGTTGCTTTCTTTGGACTAAACTAGCACTTAAACCACCTCTGTACCATTCTCAAAGTTTTCAGTAAGCCTTTGTGAATGTACTTTCGCAGATATTCACCCTGCTTCCTCAGTGCCAACAATTACCTGGATGTTTTTATTGAATTCCTAATCCTGTTACCCATTCAAAATCTGTTATTGGGGTCACCAATAATATTTGATCTAAGAGCAGATCTGTCGATACCTAAATCAGTATTCAGTTACCTCAATTTGGTATAAAACACCAAAATACTTTTTGCGTAAATCTTCCTAAACCTTTTTGGGCAAACTTGGCTGGGTGTGTTCTGTTCTAGTTAGTGCTGACTCCTGGTGTTTGCCTAGGCAAGTCCCTGCAGTTTTCTTGGCAAGATTTGGGAAGTGGTTTGCTACTGCCTCCTTCCTAGGGCTGAGAGAGAAGGCCTGGCCCAGAATTATCCAGCTGGCTTTCATACCTAAGGCACGTCTAGAACTCCCAGTCTCCCAGTTTCTAACCTGATGAGCTATAGCACATCAAACTGGCTGTCACAATTTCCACAGCACTATCTACATTTATAAATAGGATTGAAATTTCATGGACGTTTTTGAATCGGAATGAGTGGCTTGGAGTTATTCATTCCTGCATTGGCTAAAATAGGCTCAAGATCCAGATGGATCTTGACAGACTAGAACACTGGGCCATATCTAACAAAATGAAATTCAATATAGAGAAAAGTAAAGTCCTACACTTAGGCAAGAAAAACCAAAAGTACACATATAGACTGGGTGAAACCAGGCTCAATAGCAGTAACTGTGAGAGGGATCTTGGGGTCTTAGTGGACAACCAGCTAAATATGAGCCAGCAGTGTGCAGCAGCTACCAAAAAAGCTAATGCAATCCTAAGTTGTATTAACAGAGGGATACAATCAAGATCAAGGGAAGTACTAATACCACTCTATAAAGCCTTAGTAAGACCACACCTAGAGTACTGCATCCAGTTTTGTTCACCACATTATAAAAAAGATGTTGAGACTCTGGAAACAGTACAGAGAAGAGCAACCAGGATGATTAGGGGATTGGAAGCTAAAACATACAACGAACAGTTGCAGGAACTGGGCTTGGCTAGTCTAGTAAAGAGAAGGACCAGGGGTGACATGATAGAAGTCTTCCAATATATTTGAGGGGCTGCCACAGGGAGGGAAGGAGTCAAGCTATTTTCTAAAGCACCTGAAGGCCAGACAATGAATAATGAATGGAAACTGAACAAGGAGAGATTTTACCTGGAAATAAGGAGAAACTTTCTGACAGAACAATCAACGAATAAAACAGCTTGCCCTCGGAAGTTGTGGGAGCGCCATCACTTGAGACTTTCAAGGAGAGATTGGACTGCCATTTGTCAGAAATGATGTAGGGTCTCCAGCTTGGGTGGGGGGTTGGACTAGATGACCTACAAGGTCCCTTCCAACTCTGATTATCTGTTATCTGTTAAGTCAGATTCTATCTTGAATTGCCCCCATTTGCTCCAAGTTTGATCTTTGCTTTGGGCTGGATCACAGAACTAATAGGTATCCTTGATTCAGATATAAAACACACTTTATGTTCTCAGTGTAAACACAAAATATGAAGTGATGAGGTTAAGGTTAGGCCCTTCGCTACAAAGTCTCAGAAGTGTCAGTTGCATGTTTGTTCAATGTTTTCAGGAAATAACCAAGCTGCCTGGTAAGATTTTTCTACCCTTTTAATGCACTTGTAGGAGCCAAGAGGGAATTCCAGTTCATGCTAATGAGGCTTCTAGGGTGGCAATTGTTCTGTATTAATTAGCATTACAGCAAACAAGTGTAACTTTGTGTACATGCCAAAAGTACAATAAGGGGCTTGTTATCCAGATTTGTTAATGTGATTGAACAGTGTGAGATGAGAAGGCAAAGAAATGCATCCAAATTCCAACATATACTGGGGCTTCATTCTCCTTTTGTATTATTCCTTTGAAGTCAGTAACATTGCAACAGGAAAATGGGTCAGTAGAACACAGATTTAATATTCATACTGAAGGGCATGCTTTCCAAATTTAATGCTTGCTGGTGTTGGCCAGATCACCCCTGGTTTCTACCATGAGGCTGATTCATGGCCAATCAGTCACGCTCCATCCACCATCTCCGACTTCAGATGCCAGCAGAACTACTTCAGAAAACAGCAGCTACTTTAATCAGATGCATATGTCACAGGCTCCTCAGATTGGAATCTTTTGGTGTATGTGGAGTGCAATGTTCATATGGCTTGTACAAATGGAAGATAATTTAATTCTGCTGTTGGCCACTCTCAAAGTAAAGAATTTAAAATGCAGAAAAATAGTTCCTCCTGTGATTGTAAGAACATCAACTAACTGATTATGTTCACCCATTGCAATAAACCAGAAATCCTTTTAGGAATTGAAAATCCAAAACATGCCAAGGTTTTGCTAGCTATTTAGGAGGGAACAAATCAGAATTACTTATTCATATGTCACATGGCAGGAGGTGGAACTAAATTGGAGAAGTCAAACAGCATGTACTGATGACCAAGGAATGTGTAAGAGAGCCAAATTATCTAGGATGAATAGACATTGATAAAATCTAATATCTTCCTCGTAATCCTTTGAGATTTTTATTCTAGTGTTAGGCACTCAAAGGGAAATGTAAGGCTACTTTGTCAGATACATGAATTGTTTTTAGCTGATTTTAAACACAAGCATCTTGTTCTATACAGAGAGGGGGGCGGGAAGATGGATGGTGTGTAGCAAAGTGTATAGTGAATGCATGGGAATGGTATGTATGTGTGAAAAGGGGATGGTGCGATTTCTGTGTGAAAGGATGTCAATTGCATAATTCATTGCAGCTTACAGAATATGAAATAGCTGCATAGATGGAATTTGGTTATAAAATTGAGTGTAGAGAAACTGAAGCCTTAATGGACTCTTCCAATTATGATTGTCAATTCATCTGAGTTTGGTCTCACAAAGGGAGGCTTTTGGAGGTAATCTCAAAAGATGCATGGTTTTGTACCCTGTCTACATTCATTATGAAGTTGCGTAGGATAACATGCTCTAATATAGGAGCTTCCTCCCAAAAATAATTCGTTAAAGAGCGAACACATCCGTCATCGTTTGCAGGGCATTAGTGGTTAAAAGCCACATATATATCTGTAATATGTCAAAAAGATAGATTGCAATGTTTTAGGATAATACCTCTTCACCTTGTCCCAGTTCTTCAAACCTCAGCTCTCATCTTAAAAATGGTGACCAATGGCATCTCCAGATTGTCCGAGTTTAAACTTAGCATGTTTATCCTTCTCCAGTCCAAGATCAAAAAGCAACATCAAATGATATAGACTGCTTCCATGATACTGGATAACAAACAAGAGTAGAGCTGAATATCAATAATATATTGGTACAATCACATTCAAAAGAGTGGAGTGGCTGAACATCGTAGTTTCCTATAGGTATAAAATGAAAGGGGAAGCAAGACAGAACTTTATGAGCCATGGAATTGAGCAAAAGACTAGCTTCTGTATATGGTGTAATAGAAATAACCTGATATCCATACCTGTCTCCCATCAATTCTGCTTGCACTGTTAGATCCCAGAGGGGTTGCTCTGGATCCCTCCCATTAAACCATGTCATCATGTTGGATCCAAGCATCATGATTTCCCTGTTGCAGCAACTGCCCTGTAACACAGCATCCTTTCAACCATGTGGATGGCCCTGACCCAGTTAGCCTTTTGCAAGGCATAAAAAGACTTGGCTGTTCCTCCAGGTGTTTGGGCCAGGAGGTTAAGTGAGCTCTGCCAGCTAATGTGGTTTTACTTTAAGTTGAAATTTGCCATTTGCAACCTCAGACATGGTTTGAATTATTTTAAATGCTGTTTTAACATTGCAGGCCTCCCAAAGCCGCTGCTGTGAGATGGTGGCCATACAATTATTTAAATGAATTGATTAGCAGTACAAAACAATACCGTGCATTATTGCACTGAATACTTCTACGATAACTACCGTATTTCTCACAAAATAAGGCCGGGCCTTTTTTTTTTTGACCCCTAAACCATCTTTTCGGGGGTAACTTAATTTCCTCCCCCAACTAGAGCGGCCCATATGCACGTACCTCACCGCGGGGCCGCTTCTATCGGCCAACGAAAGCTCCCTGAAGGCAGAGTCCCCAGCTGCTTTAGGGCGTGGCATGGCTGCCCATGTCCCCTCGCCTTTAGGCAGTCTCTTTTGGGCGATGGAAGCTCCCCAAGTGCAGTCACCAGCCACTTCAATCGGCTGGTAGAAGAGGCCTCGGGGCGAGAGCACACACACACTCCCCTCGCCACAAGGCCACTTCTATCGGCCAACGAAAGCTCCCCGAAGGCAGAGTCCCCAGCTGCTTCGGGGCGTGGCATGGCTGCCCGTGTCCCCTTGCCATTAGGTAGTCTCTTTTGGGCGATGGAAGCTCCCCAAGTGCAGTCACCAGCCACTTCGATCGGCTGGTAGAAGAGGCCTCGGGGCGAGAGCACACACACACTCCCCTCGCCACAAGGCCACTTCTATTGGCCAACAAAAGCTCCCCGAAGGCAGAGTCCCCAGCTGCTTCGGGGCGTGGCATGGCTGCCCGTGTCCCCTTGCCATTAGGTAGTCTCTTTGGGGCAATGGAAGCTCCCCAAGTGCAGTCACCGGCCACTTCGATCGGCTGGTAGAAGCGGCCTCGGGGCAAGCACGCACACACATTCCCCTTACCCCAAGGCCACTTCTACCAGCCGATCGAAGTGGCTGGTGACTGCACTTGCGGAGCTTCCATCGCCCGAAAGAGACTGCCTAAAGGCGAGGGGACACGGGTAGCCACGCCATGCCCTGAAGCAGCTGGGGACTCTGCCTTCAGGGAGCTTCTATCGGCTATCGGGGTATTCTAGCCTAGGCTACCTGCAGAGCACTCCTAAAGGCAAGTTTTCCCCCCCCCCCCCCCGCCCTTCCCCCCCATTTCTCTTCACCTCCTGTGAAAAGAACAATGTGAGAAATGGCAGGGAAACACATGGTTTAAATAGGCCTAAATTTTGTGGGTGGGGCTTAATTTCACCTCATGCCTAGAAATCATGCTGGGCCTTCGTATTGGTGGAGGCCATATTGTTGGAGAAACACGGTATTGCTGTTGTAGTTTTAGTTTTAAAAACTGGTGGAAAGACTACGCACAATAGACCCAGATAATGTGACTCATCTCACTTCAGTATCAGGGTCAGATTCTGATCTGAACCAAGTTTGATCGATGATGGATAATCAGGGCACTCGTTTTCTGTTGTTTACTAACTTTTGGTTGCATTGTGGGATTGTTAAGAATTATCCAAATTGTCTCAGATATTTGTAATATCTGCCTTAACGTGGATATTCTCAGCCATCCTGGTCATGGTTGCCCCAAAGGCGCTTTTTTTCAAGAGTCACCTGGACTTTCTGGCTCAGAGCCAAAAAAGCTGCTTGGATGAGAAGTGAAACATCTTCAAAGAAAAAAAAAGAAAGCCCAGTTGCTTCTTGAAAAAGCACCTTTGGGATCTGCCTTATCACTTTCTCTTTATACCTGCTTAGTGACTCTAGCCATCTTTAGAGATTTCTTTTGTTTGCCCAAACAAATGAAGCTAGGTAGGTGATTTCAAGAAAAGATCTTTTTACTTGTGGAATATCTGCACTAAAGAAGTAGAACTGGCACCCAGTCTAAATTATGTTTTACCCCCGTTTTAGATCCTTGTTTAAATAATACTTTTTTTTTTTTAACTGAAGTGCCCATGTTACTTTTATATATGTTACTTTTATATATTTTATGTTCATATTTTATCTATGTTTATATTATACCATTTGATTTCTATATCATGTGGATTATTTTACTATGGGTTTTGTATGGTTTAAAAGATAAAATAAATGGACAATCTGTTAAGAAAAACAAGTTAATTGTTTCAGCCATTAACTTATAATATCATACTGTTCCTGAACTCAGCCTTTCCCCCCCTATTTAAGAAATGTATTTAAAATTTGAATGAATTCAATGTAATTAATTCAACTGCATTTAAGAAATGTATTTAAGAAACAAATATATAACATATTCATTTTGTGGAAGAAATAGAGGATGCAAGGAACCATTTGAAGAAGTTTCTTAGTGTTTTTCAGGTATCAAGGGGAATGCATAAAATGGAAATTAGCATGAAATATTGAAGAATGGCTCACTTAAATACATATGTAAAGTGTACATGTACGCGGGAACTGTTGCAGAAGGCAATATACATTGTTGCAGAACATACTACACAAATCAAATTCATCTTGATCCAGATTTGATTTAATCTAAGCCATGTATGTTATCTTTGTCATGCATGCATAGTGAACTACAGTACATCCATATGTTTCTTATCAAGAAGCAGCAGTGCATATATTTTTAAATATATAAGGATGTGATTCTCACAATTGTTAGATTTTTTTCTTTTTCTGTTTCATAGGCAACTTGTTGCATGTCAACACAGATTCCCGATTCCCAATTCACAAACCACTGACTAAGCCAAAGGAAGTTAATCATCTTTTCCTTGTTTTCTCCATGGATTCCAGTTAATACTTTTAAGACCAGCATTGGTTGCTTGTTTGCTTAGAAGGAAACTGGTGTGTGTGTGTGTGTGTGTGTGTGTGTGTGTCTGTGTCTGTGTGTGTGTGTCTGTGTGTGTATCCAGGATCCCTATAGATTTAAAACTTCCCTTGATGCAGCAGTTTCTGCAGCCTGCTTCTATTTGAAAAAAGATTTCTGTGCCAATCAGATTTTTCCCAGTTCTTACAGTCCCTCAAAATAAACCAGATGAAAGGAAATAAAGCAAAAGGAAGTTGGGAGTTACCTGGATAAGGAAAGAAAAATGACAAGGCTGCTACTTTGAGAAATCTCCACAGGCTTTTCAGCTGATTAGCCCATAAATATATATTGCTGGAAAAAAAAAATCAGAATTACAGGCATTGTTGAGCATTGCTAGGGATACACATCTAACATATTTCCCTTTGCTGATTAAAAATAACTTAGGATGTTGGCAATCCCGTGTTAGGATGGATAATGGGACTGTGCAATTTCTTTGAGGGATGCATTGAATCTTCTCCAGATGACTTGCTCTAAAAAGACCTCCGTGTCTTCTTGTTGGGGGTTGCCCCCTGTAGGAGCCTTTTCAGTTGCTGCTTCCTCCTCTGGGATAGAATCTCCTCAGGCAACGTCAGCCTTGTGAGGTAATCCAGACAAGAAGCACATCCAGGAGTACCAGTGCTAACTTTATTCAAAGGTTGCATCAACAGAATCTGGCAAGTCTGAAAGCATATCTTTCTCCCCTTCAAATACATTTAAAAAAATTTTTTAATACAGTTTTAAATGTGCTTAAAATGTAAATTAATCCAATGTAATTGAATGCATTTCAGAAATTTATTTAAGAAACAAATAACAGCAATAGCACTTAGACTTATATACCATTCCACAGAGCTTTAACATACTCTAATATACTCATTTTGTGGAAGCAATACAGTTTTGCAGTCCAAAAACCTGGTATGTATGTGTGCCACTTCTAGGGTTGCCACCTCCCCATTCCTTCTGCAGACTCCGTAGCCATTTGTCTGACCCTTCTCCCGTCTGCAGCCTTTCTCCTGTTTCACAACGTCATTCCCGCGTGGCACTATAACTATTCAAGTGGCCCCATTCCTCCTGCATTTTAGAAAATCTGCAGAGTTTATAAGGGCAGGGCTGCTACAACCATCCCCCTGGATGATGGATTAGTTTTATTTGAGGCTTGGATGTTTAATTCCCACGTTTCGTGTTATTTTATATGCTTCTTAAAATAAAATAAAAAAAATTTGTTTATATATTTGTTCCTAACCCAGTTCCAGGTTTGAGTCCTGTGTCACTCAGAATTGGTGGGACAGAGCAGCCCCTTGGTGGGATTCAGCCGGTTTGCACCAGTTAGGGAGAACCGGTTGTTAACTTTCTGAGCAGTTTGGTGAACTGGTTGTTGGAAGAAATAATTAGGGTAGAGAACCGGTTGTTAAATTATTTGAATCCCACCACTGCGCAAATAAATAACTGCCCTTCTCAAACCTGATCTGTATGAATCTTCAGAGCCCCTTGCTTCTAAGAGTGATCTGGTCCCATTGCTTTTGGGGCTCTTCTGCAAACATTGACATTTGTGGGGAAAAAAGGAAGAAGATTCTGTGGGAACTTTGTCAGCTTTTGCAGCTCTTGAAGAAAGCTTGGGGCAACCCTCCCCTTCATGGACCCTTTTTAGAATCTTCCATTACAGGTAGTCCTTGACTTACAACAGTTCATTCAGTGACTTTTCTAAGTTACCACAGCCCTGGGGGGAAAGTGACGTAGGGC